GGTCTTCTGTCAGGACAAAGCCTATCAGAGGGTCTTCTGTCAGGAGGTCTTCTGTCAGTCGACTAATCTAAGAAACTTTACAAGGAAAAATTTCTAATACAATAAATCTAAAGAGGGGGTACACTAAAGTCCTAATTAATATAGCATCATCAAAATCTAATTACAATTATTCCTTACAGAGGGAATATGGGACACTTTGCCGATGTATAGGGACTGAGCCCATTTCTTCCTCTGGGTGGTAGAGTCCCCCCTGTGTTGCCCCCATCGATGAGGTGAATGTGGTGCTTCTTCATCTGGGGTTCCTCAAACTCCTCCTCATTGCTCAGGTTGCCAATTTCCCGCTTCTTCGACGAGGTTTCCCCTCCTCAATTGCCGATGTTCACCCAGGTATTTTTCTGTGGGGCTCCTTTAACAAACTGGGAGAGTTCACCTTGTTGAATAAGTCGTTCAATTGCCCTTTTTAGGGTGACACAGTCATTGGTGTTGTGGGTGGTGTTTCGGTGGAAACAGCAGTAGGTTACGTTCCACCATGGTGTATGGCGTAGATTACTTTCGCAGATCGGGTGTCCTTGGCCACCTCTCCCTGCTCCTCAGCATAGACGAGGACTACACTTATTGGGTGTGTGTGGGGTCCTTGATGGGTCAATCTTTGGCCGCCATTGTCGCTTTTCCCGGTGTTGTCCCTCTGATCCAGGGCATGCCTATCTTGGGGAGTCTTATTCTCTGACGGGTGGTGCGCTGGGATTGGTGCATTGTTCTTCTTCTTGGGTGGTTGTCCATCGTCCTTCTTGTGGGAGTGTAATTCATCGGCCTTCACGTACAAACCTCTCCGCTGGAGCGCCTTTGTGTATGACCTTGGGGGTCAATGATGAGGCTTCTCACGTAGGGGCTGCTACGCAGGACACCCTGGAGCAGGACGAGGATAGTACAATCATCAGCTCCCTCTACCTCATCGGTCTCCTTCGTCCACCGTTCGAGAAAGCTCTAAAACGGTTCATCATACCGTTGTTTGATTGTGAGCAAGTGAGAGAAATGTTTCTTCACGCGCTTCCTCCGAGCGAAGTGCGTGGGGAAGCTTTGTGCCAGATCCTGCCATGAGTCCACGCTGCCCTCAAGTAGCGCATTAAACCATTTTATATGCCGGACCCTCAAGAGTGGAGAGGAACCATCAACATAGGTACTCGTCTAATGCGTTTACCATCAACATGTTGTTCTGGTAACGGTTGAAATGCTCATGTGGGTCCGTTCAGCCGTCGTAAGTTTTAATGGTGTTCCATCGGTATTTTTCAGGGATCGGGGCAGAGATTACCTCACTGTGAAGGGAGTCTTTGTTTTAATTTGTATGATGGGCTCACCACGTCCTTCAACTAGGTGCCTCTCCAGGGTGTTGACTTTGTGCAGGAGGACGTTGTAGTCGGGGTCCTGGGAGGCGTTGGCCATTGCTCCACCCGCAAGTTGCCTCACTTCCATCTGGACCAGTTGCCTCCCCAACTGAGCTATCACCTCGTCCCGAGGGTCCTTCACGGTAGTAACAACTCCCTGTTGCGTCTGGACACAGGCCGCATGGGTCTGATTGATCTGGTGGCGTGCATCCTCTTTGCGCAGCTTGCCCTTCGCTTTGTCAATGCGGGGCTGGTCCGCTGTCCGGGACACTAACCCTAGGCTCTCCTTGGGTGATTCGGGCTCACGGTTGCCCAACCGTCATGCCATCCTCTCCGATAGTCATGATGGAGTGATGAATGGGAAATAGTAAAAAAAAATTATTTAACCTTTTTCCCCATACAAATTATTGATCCAAAAATTACAATAAGCACTAGACGGGTGATTGAGCGCCCCAATTTGGTTCGATTGGATTGTGCGTGTTGCCTATCCTATTGAAGGTCGAGGTCTTACCATGCCCGGGGGTCGATCCAACTCGCGGAGGGGAGGCGGTGTGCGAGGAAGTGTCGTGGGTGACGACGTTTTCGTCATTGTCGATGAAGGTGACAATAGGAGGAGGTGGTAGTGTCGTGTTCTCCCAAGTCCTCTCTCAGGATAGTGGGGTTCTGGGCCGAACTGGCGATGATGGCCGATAGTGCGGCATGGACCTGAGGGTCAACAGGGGGAGAAGTATGTTGTCCCGAAGCATGGTCACCTTTCTCCATGCAATTGTGCTCAAGGCCGATGCGGGCGTCCTGAGCGTTGATGTTGAGCTTGTTGCGAAGGTCAGTTGTGGGGTCGACGGTCTCCTGGAAGACCTCTTCCTCTGCTATCTTGTCAGTCGTAGCGTCGCCTGATCGCTCTTGGTTTTCGTGAGGGTCGGGGAGAGTCTTGCCATCGAAGTTGTTGTTTGATCTAGTCTTTCCCATTTTCAGTTAGCTGCGTCTGGTAGCGACGAAGGATACTAACTTGATGTTCTAGCTTTCAATGAAAACACCAAATGATAGAGTATAAATAGAGAAAAGTGAGATCTAGAGAGAGAAAGTGCTGGTAATTATTATTTCTCAACCCCCTACAGCTACCCCTACCCCTATGGGAGTATTTATAGAGGAAATGTAGGTTGGGCTCCCACGTCTTGGGTCTGGGAGGCCCGATACAAAATAAGGCCTCTAATGGGCTGAATACATGATTTCTAGAGCTAAGTATAAAATTTAGTGTGTTGGAGTCTCATTGGCCGAAGGAGGACCAGATCAATGGAGAGCCTGGCCGATGGAGGGCCATCTGAGCATCGTGGCCCTTGTGTTTGTCTTCTGAGTATGCGGGTCATAGGGTCTGAGCCCATATGCTCTATCAGGTGGATACAAGCTAGACATTATTTTATATCTTCACATATCACATAATTTTAAAAATAACTTGGAGGCTAGGACATATGATTTCATTTTCCTCATGAATGAACTACATGAGAATTATTTACATGAGTACGACTCCATGAGAATCATATTCCTTGCAAAGTCAACAAAATATGGTTTTGAGATGTCCCTTAGTGCGTGCAAGTCCAAAAACATTAACAAGAGAAAATGCCCTTATAAAAGTAAGACAATTGAACCCCAACTTGAAAGAAGGAGGGAAAGACTAGGAAATTTGTGCAACCTAAAGAACAATATATGTATTTTCATCAAACTAGGGCACACCCTTTAAAACTTGGCAAGGGAGAAAAGGTTATTAATGGAAGTGAAATCACCACAACTGGCAGATGTTGAAGATTTGGAACACAGGAAGGGCATGCACAAGTTCAAGAGAAAGAGGCAATGGTGGCATTCGAGTATGATTTAGAATCATCACGGAGAAAGAAACACTTGGACCAATGTAAGTCCATAACTTGCAATGTGTCTATACTATTGTTGATGACATATTTTGTTGTATGTGAATACTAGTGTTTTGCACCATACTAGAATGTTTTATATTAATCTCCTAGGTAGCATGGTGCTCCAATAAACACATACATGTCTAGCAAAGTATGCACGCCTTGTAAAAAAGTGAGCCACCCAACTAGCAAACTACTTTGAATACATCACAATGCAAAACCAAACCATGATACAACAAGATAATGGATGCCACTTTACATGATTTGGTATGCTTGGTAACCACTCCATTGGACTTAACTTGCAAGTATATATACAAGTGTAGATTGTAGTAATAAATAACGGCAAAACCTAGGTAGCGCACAAGCGGGCACTGACAGAAGAGGCAAAACCCAGATATCATCGCCTATCGCCATTGCCATCACCAGAGCTTCACCAGTGTCGTGGGAGCATCTGGATCATCAACAGAGCTTCACGGTCAGTTGGAAGCGTGAGCATAGAAAGAAGGTGCAGACAAGAAGGGGGAGGAAAGGGGTAGATTTAGGGGTATTTTTTAGTATTTATGTGAGGACATTTCTGTGCTTTTCGTTTTATTAAGTTTGTCTTTTTTTGAGATTAAATTTAAGTTTCATTTTTATCAAATTAGAAGTTTATAGTTTTAGATATGTCGTATTTTAAGGATGTTTTAAATTGAGTTGGGATTTTCTAGTTAGGTCTAGTCCGATTTGTTTAAGTTTGGTCTAATCTAAACTAGTCTGATAAATATATGTTCTATATGTATTTCACAATTGTCGAAAATTTGGTTAGTAGTATTATTTGATCTGCTCTATTTAAGTCTGGTCTGATATATGATTGGAATTATTCCAATTAAAAAAGTATCCTAGATAATAAGAGTCCTGCTTGGTGTTCACGTTTTGTACACATCTTAAATATTCATCTATTTACACGAAGAAATTGTTCAAAAATGGATAAATTATCTATGTGTAAACCTCATTTTGGACAACATGCCTCTACATATAGACGAGTGTGTAAGAGTGTACAAATACACAATGTATAGAAAAATAAAGGAGAATTAAATTTGTACATAAAATTAGTACACAAATTATACACACACTCTTTAATTATCTATGTACACGGGCAATTCATTAACAAATGACAGAATTATAATAAGAATCATCCAATTTTTGCGTACAACAATAATTATTTGAAAATAAAACCTACCATTTTCCTTCTCTCACAAAATACTCCGTATAACAGTAATAAAAAACGAATGACTGACGAGGGAGTAAACGGGAAGATGGAGATAATAAAAGGAAGGAAAAAATTCAACTTTTGGTCTCATGACTATTATACCACTTCCACATTTAGTCCTTTACTTTCAGATTGTACACATTTAGTCCGTGACCATTATCCCCTCACCGCCACTCGTCCTTTCGGCCAAAATTCCGTCAAATTTAATGTAGAATTTATGTATGGAAAACCAAATTTAGTGCAAAGATTGATATGAAAAACTCAACCTGATACAAAATTTAATGCAAAGACTGATTCTAAGGTTGAGAGGTAGACTAAATTTACCGGAATTTTGGCCGGAAGGACGAGAGATGCTGAGGGGATAATGGATTAATGGCCACGGACTAAATGTGAACAAACTTAAAGTAAGAGACTGAACGTGGAAGTGCTATAATAGTTACGAGACAAAAAGTGTAATCTTTGATGGGAGTATTAAAATCCGTGGATCCTCATTATAATAGTTATGAGACCTAATAATATACTATTCTCAAAATCTGTTGCTTGGCATCGTCAAGACTGAATAAGCAAACTGTTGAAGTAGGTAAAAGGCGCAGGAAAAGTAGAAGATGCCAGATTATCAAGGCAATGGAGAGGATGCAGGCAACCGCAGAGAAAGTTACGAAGCTTCTCCCCCGCCGAAAACCATCGGCTTCTACAGCGGCACTGAGGAGCACGACTCCAAGTCCCAGGTGCTGCTATACTGTTTATATCTTGCTTCGTTTTGCGGGTCCGAGGTTATGGCTTTATTAGTATCGATTGATGTTACAGTCAATCTTTTTAAGTGAATCGTTACCAGATTTTGGTAATTGGATATGGTGATGTTACTATTTTAGTATACTTATGGTATGCTTATCACTATTTTTGTAAGTATTATGTTATGGGGTTTTGGTCTGCATATGAAGTCACTTACAACCGTAGATATGATCTATTGGAGTGCCCTGATGGGAATCATGCACGAATACCATTGATTGAATTATTGAAACACACATCTTTTAGTTATTTTGTGTTACAGGATTTCATTTTCATTAATGAGCTGGTCATCTTTGTCCATTTATGTTAAAAAGAGAAATAGAGAATAGAGTTGAACTAGAATAAATAACTATGTAGTTCTGAGTTCAGCTTTTCGAGGTTACGTTATGCATATAATAGTTCCGCTTTTTCGCCTTCAGATGTTAGGACCGGTGGTTTCTCGTGCCCTTTGTTTTCTAAATTAGGCTATATCTTCCATTTCTTGCCTCATGGTTTTAGTTATTGGCAATTTTCTTTTGATAGCAGTTCATAATAATTATTTTATGCACATTGTCTCTTGTACCTTACAGCATAGTTCACGGGACTCTGAGAAACAAAGAGAATCGTCTAGAAGCATGGATAAGGGAAGGGATAAAGGGCGCGACAGGGACCGAGAGAGAGATCACGATAGAGGGAGAGACAGAGATCAGGATAGAGGGAGAGACAGAGACAGGGAAAAGACCAGTGATCACCACCACAGAGACCGCCACAGAGATCGAGGTGAAAGAAGGGAGAGGGAGAGGACCAGAGATAGAGAAGATGATGGTAACTATAGAGGCCGTGACAGAGATAGGTGAGAACCTCAGATCTAAGTAATTCATTTTTCTGGATAGGAGTTTTTGTATCTGAACACTGTGCTTTATAGCTACCCACATTGATATCACATACTTCCTAGTCACAAGCTGTAAAACTCCTCACTATCTAGATATTTCATGATGTACTTTATATTTTAGGCTGTAAAAAGGACTAAACATATATATTTGAAATTTTGAATGGTTTGACAGGCGACGAGATTATGACAAAGACAGAGAGGACAGGCACAGGCGTAGGTCCAGATCTCGGTCTAAAGATAGATCCAAGCATATATCAAATTCCAGATCACCTACACGGCCCAAAAGGTAAGCTCCTGTTATTGTTCACAATATTCTTATGCTTGTTTATTTACCTCGTATATTTGGGTTTCCCTTGCTTGCATTTTATTTAGTTAAATCTACTGTTAATCTGCTTCTGAAATCCCTAAATTGGTATGTATGTTTTGTACTACTCTTTTTTTTGTCCAAAAGGCAGAAACATGGCCATAGATCATGTTTGCTGATGTAATAAAACCCTAGCTGTGAAGGAAATGCCATATCTGAATCAGTTTTAATATTTCGTTTGATTATATAAATATTTGTGTTTCTCATTTTGACTGGGAATTTTGTAAGAAAATATTTTTGAATTCAACAAATTTTGGATAGGTTATGTACTCATGCATTGCTTTAAAATAGTAGGTCGCTATGATGTTCCATTTGGTGCCTCCTTTTTTTAGAAAAAATGCACACCAATGTGATAGTCTATCCTAATCAATTATTAATAAAATTATTAGGGATACGAGTATCCTCACGCACTGTTCTAAAAATCGCTCTAGGCGACCGACTAGTCCCCGTATAGGCGTTAGGTGGTGTCCGGGCGCCTCGATTTTTGTCTAGGCGCTCCGACTAATTGGTTTGGTGCCTGGGTGAATTAGTCAGCCGTCTAGGGCGCCTAGTTGCCCGTCCAGAGTGCTTAATCGCCGCCTAGGGCGTCTAGATTCGCCGAACAATTTTGTAAGAGATATATGTACCTTTAACTTTAATCATGAGTATGAAGAAAGATACTTATAAATTAAGATAAAAACTAATAACAATATGTGTTTGTATATATACTTAAATTTTATTATTAATTAATATTTGTAGCATAATGCAAGTAAGTGATTAGTTATCATATATTATTGCATGTGACAATTCTATCATTCATGCATGTCAATTTGTGTTTATATATTTTTCATAGTTCACACACACACACACAAAGTGACGCGTCATCCCATTGTCCAGCCTAAGCTTATTTATTTTTTGCTCTCCGTCTCTCCAGTTCTTTTTTCCTAGATCTGATATGAGATCACAACCACGCTCCTAGTACAATAATCCCAAGTATTATTGTTCTTCCCATATTAATCTTAAATATATGAAATCTTAATAATACGAATTTTAGTGGTATCTTAATAAACTCCCAAGTGACCGGAAACCGGCTATCTTGTTAAGTTCTCAGTAGCATCTCATCTTTTGTTTCTTTTTGTCTATATATATTTTTCTTTGGTGCTGGTAAACCTCAAAAGATACTCCACCCTGAGGATTGACAAGATATTGGGCAGAACTTTGAGACGGTGATGGATACAAAGTTGAGAGTTTTGAACTCTAGCTCCAATAGCTCCTCTGGATCCAAATTAGATGTCTTCTCGCTGTTAGATCAGTGGATACCCTATACAATGATCTGTCCAATCATGTTATGCTTTATGTTCTAAATGGCTCGCCCGAACTGGTTAGCACACACAAGAACCATAATCCGTCTCACAGTCAACAAAGGAAGGCCAGTAAATTCAAAGCTCGCAAGATTACTACCTTCAGAAAAACTGAGGCATTTGATTATCCGAAAACAATTAGTTCTCCTCACTTCTTTCTCCTTTTCTTAGAACATTAAATAAGTTTCCCCCCCCAAAATATTACTAAAATAAAACGTATTTACACAAATATTACTAATAGTTACTGCAATATTGTATCATTGTCACTTAAGTTGAAGAATCGAACATACATTACTATGATTAAGTGACTACTATAGTCACTAGTCACATTTTTGTAAACAATCTTTATTTTAGTCATAAGTATGTACAAATTTTCATCAATAATTAAGCTCCATTCTTTGTGAGAGTTGCTTCCTCTTTCCTTTTCAGATCAGTTTCTGTATTCAATTTAGAAAAGGATCACGATTCGATTCCAAAGAAGGGGGCGATTCACGGATGTGATGGAGGAAGGGAAATGAAAAAAATAAGAAAGAAAAGAAAAAAGTAGAAAAAGAAGAAAGAAAAGAAAATAAACCATGAGTAGCGGGCATGAAGCAGAGCACACATGCACGCCTGGGGAGTGGGGAAGAACAAAGTGCAGAAAAACGGATGGTAGATGGAATATAGAGAAAAGATATACAACAACATCCAAGCCTTAGTCCCAAAAGATATTGGGGTCGGCTAACATGAATCGATACATGATATCACAACACGATATTCATATTTCGATTCATGTCATGTGATGTGACTAAGTGATACTGTTGGCCGTCACACGCCTACCACAGCACCCTCCTCCTTTATCCTGGCTTGGGACAGGCATGATACCAAAAAAATGATATCATGGCGGAGTTATAGAGAAAAGATATAAAAAGGAAAAAAGAGAAAAAGAAAAAAAGAAACAAAAAAAGGGAAGCCCAATAAAAACATGCCACCTGGTCAGGTTACTTGCTAAATTGGTTTATGCAGGTTACTGGTTTACTTTAAGAAGATATCCCTTATAATTTAGATTATATAGGAATAATCCATATATGGGATTAATATAAAAATCAGTTATAGTTGAGTTTAAACATATGAATGTTTCCTTTTTTGCCAAGGATATTTATTAGAGTGTTCTACCATGGATTTGTTGTCTGTATTCTTTAGTATTTACTAACTTGCCATCTTTGGTAACTTGGTAACTTTAACAAATTCAATTTGCTTCAAGGGTTCAATTTCTACTATCTTTGGTAACTTTACAGATTCAATTTGCCTCTAGGGTTCAACCTCTGTGTGCTTCTGGTGGCATTTATTTGTACATAACTTGTGTAACACTTGGGCTATGAAACTTACTTAATTTTCTGAATACACGGGGTTGTAAAACTTTATTTAACTATTCCATTCATGTTTCTATTGATGTCTTGCTTTCCCTCTTCCATCGTTGTTGGTGATTCTTCTTAACTTTAAAAGGTCCAGCGGTTTTGATATGGCACCTTCAGCTGCTACGATGTTATCTGGTGTCACTGCTGCTCCAGGTGCAAATCTCATTTATATTTTATTCTAAATTAGTCTTTCATGAAAATGGTCAGGTTTTTCTAGGACTTAGTGTGGAAGTCCATTTGAAAATGCATGCTTTCATTTTTGGTAAGCATTTATTTAAATTCTTTTGAAGCTATTTGGTATCGTGTCTTAGTTACTAGACTAGATTGACTGTTTAAGTTATTAATTATTAAGTTATTAGCTATTATTTCCTTCGTCAAATAACTCTATAACTGAGAGGACTTCCGTTTGTTGTTGTGTTTGGTGTTTGTTTTGTTTGTTTGGTTTGTGTGGCTATATTCTCTAAGAAGGCAATGTTGGGCTACTTGCCCCAATGTGCTGACAATGGGTGTGAGCTGACTACTGTACTTTTATGTACAAGGAAGAATCAATACAGGTTTTCTTTTTCTTTTTTTCATCCTCCACCAGGAATTAGTTGCTATCTAGCTTAACCAATATTCTAAATTTCTAATCCATACCTAAATTTCCTTCCCCCCTTTCTTATTAATTATTAAATTATATTGGACTCCAAAATGAAGCATGATCAGTCTTATCAAAAGAAACATTTGTTAATCTGTTGGACTATATTTATTGCTTTAGACTAGACATTCAGCATTTTTTGCCACATTGCCACATCTTCTTATGAGTTAATAACGTATAACTTCGTTTTGCTTTGCAGGTCTTGTTCCTGGAACCAACCCAGCTGTTCCTGGAATGTTTTCTAACATGTTTTCCATGGCACCAGGACAGGTAACCCATTTCCTTCCTCTGCATCCTAGAACTGTGCTGATCTTATTGTTAACTCCTTCGATTTTGTACTGATGGGCTTCAATAGCAGTTTGGGGCACTTCCAATGATGCCTGTTCAGGCAATGACTCAACAGGTTGACACTTGTTTTGCTACTCCTATAGATTTTTTAAATTTGTATTATCCAAAGTTGTAATTCAGATGTTGCGTTACCAGGCCACCAGACATGCTAGGCGAGTTTATGTTGGTGGACTTCCTCCAAATGCAAATGAACAGGTATTGTAGTTTCCATATCTCTTAACTTATACAAAGTTTCTGTATTATTTGGAAGATGATCTGTTCAATGTTTTTCTCCACAGTGGCTTCATCTCATCCAGTTAGTTTCTTTATATTTTGACTATATTACAATTTACAAGGGACATTCTTGTTTGCATTTGCTACTGCATTTTCTTGAACCTGCTGAGTTTTCCCTAATTATATACTCCGTATTTAGCTATATGTTTTTTGGGATCAGCTTCCAGCACTCATGTTGTTGATTGTATGTCGTCATCTTTTCTTGAGTGTAATTTGCTATTAGAGCATTAGCATGTTCCAAGATGTACAGTAATGCTGATTTGACCCTTCCAATTTCCCTGTAGTCTATCGCAACATTCTTCAGTCATGTTATGTCTGCAATCGGGGGAAACAGTGCTGGCCCTGGTTAGCTAATTATATCTCCACTTATGATTATGTATTTGGTATGATCTTTTCAGATGCTAAGAGTATTTATCACTTTCAGGAGATGCTGTTGTCAATGTTTATATAAACCATGAGAAGAAGTTTGCTTTTGTTGAAATGAGATCTGTTGAAGAAGCCAGCAATGCCATGGCTTTGGATGGAATTATATTTGAGGTGAGGAACACATTCCTAAGCCTTATTGAAGTTCAAGCCGTTGCCTTATTTTCTATTCTGGTATTTTTCAATCACTTGAGAAATCATCAGATCTCTGTGCTTTAGTACAGGGGTAGCTGCGTACATCCGACCCCCCTTACCCCACCATAGGTGGGGAGCCTTTGCGGCACTGGGGTAATGTTGATGAAGGAATGATGATGAACTTGAGAAGTCATCAGACAGAAAATACCTATTTTTATTAGCAGCATGTCAGCATTGTCCTATAAAGTATAAACTTAAAGAACCATCTTATTCTTTAATGTCTGGATATGCTCATCATGTTAGTTCGTTATCTACTTGGAGGTGGTGATCATAGTCATATTCCATTTTGCCTAATTTTTCTAATTCTTCATTTTTAAACTCAGGGTGGACCAGTTAAGATCAGAAGACCTAGTGATTACAATCCCTCACTGGCAGCTACTCTTGGTCCTAGTCAACCGAGCTCTAATCTCAATCTTGCAGCTGTAGGATTAGCACCAGGCTCTGCTGGGGGACTTGAAGGCCCTGACCGTATTTTTGTGGGTGGCCTCCCTTATTATTTCACGGAGGCACAGATCAGGGAATTGTTAGAGTCTTTTGGCCCACTTCGAGGATTTGACCTTGTGAAAGACAGAGAGACTGGAAACTCTAAAGGCTACGCTTTTTGTGTTTACCAGGATGTCTCAGTTACAGACATTGCTTGTGCAGCTCTTAATGGGATTAAAATGGGTGATAAAACTCTCACCGTTAGACGTGCTAACCAAGGCACCGCACAGTCTAAACCTGAGCAAGAGAATGTCTTGCTGCATGCACAACAACAGATAGCCTTGCAGGTCAGATATTTTTTTATTGCCTTGTATTTAAGCATTGCAATGGAATAGTTATTCAATATACCTCTGTAATAAACCTCAGTGTCCTGGCAGTGCATGGATGCTGCCCTTTAGATACCATTAATGCTCTGCTAGATAATTAAAATTTACTGAAAATGAGATGTATTTTGTAACTATAATGGAAAATGACTGTAGTTTTGATTGTAAGAATATGCACACTTGATATCATATTCTCTATTGTCTATTTCCAACATATACTTTTTAGTTCCTAAACTCTGTATTTGATATTTTTATGATCTATCCTATCATCAATTCTAAGTTGCGATACAGTTGAAATGAAGTGTGATAAGTACGAACAGCACCCCACACAAATATTATATATATTAATCACTGAAAGTAAGGATTACAGTAATGATGGTATACGTAAGTAATGACAGAAGGAAACGCAGGAAGAAAATACAGATTGAGACCAATTCGAGAGGGTCTCTCTATCCCACACGGCCACACCAGATTCAGCCAAAATCCAGACTTCCCTCCTCTCTCTCTTCGGGTACTCGTTATTCTCTTCCTTCAGCCATACTGACACCTCATCAGTAGTTAGTTATGCCTTCACTGTCTTTTTCTGCCAGTATATTCCCTCTTTTACCCCTACGGGTGTAAACTTTAGAAAATCCCTGTTGGAATTAATTCGTTACATAGGTGAGCTTGTATCATCACCCCTTCTGTCAAAACTCACCTTGCCCTCAAGGTGAAAATCTGGAAACATTTACTGGAATTGCAGCAATTCCTCCCAGGAGTCTTTGAAATCAGATCCTTCCAGTGCACTAAGATTTCCCTTCTTCCAGTAGGTGTCATCCTGGTATCCATTACTTTTTCAGGCTGGGTTTGCAGCTCCCATTCCTCAGACAAGCAGCTGGGCAGAGGCTGGGTAGGAATGTTATGAGCCACAGTAGGTGTCATCCTGGTATCCATTACTTTTTCAGGCTGGGTTTGCAGCTCCCATTCCTCAGACAAGCAGCTGGGCAGAGGCTGGGTAGGAATGTTATGAGCCACAGTTTTCTTTAGTAATGAAACATGGAAAACTGGATGCACAACCCCTTCTGGCAGTTTTAGCCTATAAGCAATAGGATTTATCTTGTCTATCACTTCAAATGGCCCATTCTTTTTGCCAAACTCTTCAGCTTATAAGGTTGTATTTTCAAAAAAACTTGTCTCCCACATCCAGTTGGACTTCTCTCCTGTGTTTGTCTGAGCTTGTCGCTTCATCCTTTTTTGTGCCATCGCCAAGTTCTGCTGGAGTTTTTGAGCATCTCATTTCTCTCAGCGGTGAGTTTGGTTACTTCCTCCACAGCTGTGAAGGTACCATCTCCCCTAAATAAAACTGGTGGATCTTGGCCATACAAAGCCTTGAAAGGGGAAGTTTTCAATGAGGCATGGTAGTTGGTATTGTACCAATACTCTGCCCAGGGCAACCGTTTTGGCCAGTGCTTTGGTTTCTTCCCAGTGAGGTATCTCAAATAGGTTTCCAAACATTTATTTACTACCTCAGTCTGCCCATCAGTCAGGGGGTGATAGGCAGTACTGTATTTGAGCTTAGTACCTGCTAATCTGAAAAGCTCTGACCAAAATGAACTAAAAAACACACTGTCCTGTCAGAAACTATAGTCTGGGACTCTGGGGAAAACCATGCAGCTTCACGATCTCTTGGATTAATATTCCAGCTTCCCCTTTAGCAGTGTCTGGGTGGGCTAGCAATAAAATGAGCAGATTTTGTTAGCCTGTCGACCACTACAAGTATAGTGTCCTTGCCCATGGGCCTTGGCAAGAAGGGCCATCCTCCTATAAAATCTAGGCTAATGTCAGCCCAAATGTGAGTAGGAATGGGCAATGGATGCAATAACCCTGCAGGGCTTAAAGCTCGATACTTATTTCTTTGACATACCTCTCAGCTGCTCACATGTTTCTGGATTTCAGACCTCGTTCCTTCCAGTATTTCATACTAGCTAGTCTCACTTAAGTTCTGATATACCCCGAATGCTCTCCACTATCTGAATGATGAAGGTCTGTCAGTACCTTAGTGATTCTGGGAGATCCCTTAGGCAACATAAGTCTGTCTTTGTAATAAATCAACCCCTTTTTTAATTTAAACCCTGGATGAGAATCTGGCTGGGCTAACAGATCTTGAATGAGCTGGTTGCACCTTTTATCTTGCAGTAACTCACTCTTCTTCTAGTCCCTCCAATTCCTGGCAACTAACCACAGACAATGCTTGGTAACTTCCCTTTCTAGATAAGGCATCAGCAGCCTTGTTTTCCAACCCTGGCTTGTATTTGACTATGAAATTATAGCCCATTAGTTTAGCCCCTTTTTTGTTGTTCTTCATTCATAAGTCTTTATTCTGTCAAAAATTTCACTCTTTTGATCAGTGTGGATTTCAAAACTCCTGCCCATTAAGTATGGCCTCCATTTTTGAACCTCCACCACAATCACAAGCAGCTCCTTCTCATAAACTGATTTGTTTTGGTTCCTTGTAGATAGTACCTTATTCATATAGGCTATAGGTCTGCCACCCTGCATTAGTACAGCCCCAATCCCTTGGCCAGAAGCATCTGTTTCTACGATAAATGGTTGGTTGAAATCAGGATTTGCTAGCACAGGTAATTGGGTCATAACTTGTTTCATTTTTTCAAATGCATCTTTAGCCTCCTCAGTCCATTTGAATCCATCTTTCTTTAGTAAATCAGCGAGTGATTTTGCAATCTTGCTATATCCCTGCACAAACCTCCTGTCATAACTACTGGTCAACCCCAGAAAGCCCCTAAGCCCCTTCACATCTGAAGGAAATTTCCAGTTGACCATGTCTTGGATTTTGCTAGGATCTGCAGCTACACCTTGATCAGAGATTGTGTCCCAAGTAAATCAGCTCCTTCTGCCCAAAGTAAAATTTCTTCCTATTAACCACCAATTGATTATCTTGGAGGAGCTGCAATATCTTTCGTAGATGTTCGACATATTCTTCCTTATTTTTACTGTAAATCAAGATGTCGTCAAAAAACACCAGCACAAACTTCCTCAAATAAGGTTTGAGGATTTGGTTCATCAAAGTCTGAAATGTAGGAGCGTTAGTCAATCCAAAAGGCATGACAACATATTTGTAGTGACCTTCATGGGTTCTAATGGCTGTCTTGGGAATATCACTTTCCTTCATCTGGTTCTGGTGATGTCTAGATTTCAGATCCAATTTAGAAAAGATATTAGTTTCTCCCAGCTCATCCAAGAGCTCTTTTATCCCTGCAATAGGGAATTTGTCTGGAATGGTAATTTTATTGAGGCTCCCGTAATCCCCGCATTTTCCAGCCCCCCTTCTTTTTTTCTTAACCATGATAACTGGGCTGCTGTAGGGACTTGTACTGGGCCTTAATATCAGTTATCAACATTTCCTGTACCAATTTATCTATCTCATTCTTTTGGTAGTGTGGGTATCTGTATGGTCTTGAGTTAAAAATAGAAGCCCCTTCTTTTATATTTATAGAATGATCACACTCCCTTCTTGGTGGTAAACCCTGCTGCATCTGGAAAACCTGTGAATAAGCCTCAAATATTCCTTCCACTCTTCTCCACCTTTATTCCCTTTGAATGTATCTGCCTCTCTGCAGTGCACATAGTAACCCTTCTTTGAATGTATCTGTCTGTCTCCATTCCAGGTGATATATAGTTCCCTGAAATCAGCCCTTACATCACCAAGACTAGACAGCCATTCTATTCCCAAAATGAGGTCAGTACCCCCGAACCGCAAAAGATAAAAATCTTGTTTGATTTCTATCCCCTGAATACAAATTTGTAGCTGCTCACATTTTCCTCTGTTTACTATCTGGCCTCTAAGATTTCCGTCCACTCTTCTCCACCTTCATTTCCTTCTTTGAATGTATCTACCTCTCTGTAGTGCACATAATAATCCTGCTCTTGTCTCGGTTGACCTAGAGCCTTAAATGTTGTTTTCCAGGAGATATAGCCCCCTCTCAGTAGCTTTTTCTGTCCGTCTCCATTCCAGGTGATATACAATTCCCTGAAATCAGCCCTTACCTCAGCAAGACTAGACAGTCATTCTATTCCCAAAACGAGTTCAGTACCCCCTAACTCCAAATGATAAAAATCTTGTTTGATTTCTATCCCCTAAATCCAAATTTGTAACTGCTCACATTTTCCTCTGTTTACTATCTGGTCTCCATTCCCCAATTCCACATGGAATCCTGTGTTGTGATTATAGTTCCAACCCATCTCCACCAATTTGTGAGAAACAAAATTGTGGGTAGCACCCGAATCAATGAGAACTAACACCGACCTCTTTTTATTCAAATTTCTCACTTGACCCTTGACTTAAAAAGTATTCTGAGTGTGTATTCCCTCCTTACTCAAGATATTCAGCTGCAAGGATTTAAGTTCTCCACCAACTGCCTCCTCTTCTGCTTCCAAAGGAGCTTCTGTTTCTTCTTCAATATTAACTGGTAATTCTTCATCTTGCATACGTGTTCCCGATTCCATTTTTCTCCACATTTAAAACACAACCCCCCTTTTGTTCTGTCTTGTAATTCCTCCTATGAGAATCTCGGTCCTCCTTTCTGAGTCTGATTACCCCCCCTGGTGAACTCCAGTTTCCTCTTCTGGTGTACCCTGCTCCCTAGTTGGGTTTTTACTTGAATTCAATCGCCCTTGAGATCCAGCAGGCCAGTACTGCAACTTGGAGTTATGTATTCCTTTTTGTGTCCACCCCCTTTTGTCTATATCCCTGACCCATCCACCTTTTAGAGCCATATTTTTTCTCTTCCACAAGCAATGCCTTATCTACAGTTCGGTGAGTCAACTGGATTGATAAAGCTTCAATTCAGCCCTGATCTCCTCTCAGTCCATTCATAAATACCCCTTTAACATCTCCTGATCCATATTTATTAATGGTGCGACTACCATTTCAAACCGTTCTCGGTACTCGATCACAGAATCAGTTT